TCTTTTTTCTCTTCCAACGCTCTCCTGCCTGAGTGGCGGCGGCGGCAGGGAGATGGGGGCCCCGCGCGGGGAAGGGGATGAAGATCGATGAAGATTATTGTTCTTTTAAAGGATGCCTTATCTTCTTCCCGCCGCCTCTCCTGTGAGCTTTGCTACTAGAGACTGTGTATCAGAGTCAGGGATGTAAGGAGAGGGGGAAAAACAAACGCCGGGAGCTCCAGCCAGCCCGGGAGACCCTCCTCTCGGTGGAGGGGAGGGGGATTTCCAGCGACAGATCATTGGCGAAGGGACCGTCGCAGGGAGAGCAGCCTTGCAGGGAGCGGGGAATCCCACAGCCCTTTGTGGCGCCCGAGCCAGTGCCGCCCGCTGAGCGGGGTCTCTGGGAGCTAGGTAAGTGGCGGGGAGCTTCGGTGCTCTCCACGGGGTCTTCCCGTAACGTGCGGCAGCCTAGCCAGCCTGGAGTTGCTGAAGGAATTGGAAACTGCCATATGGCGCCGAGTGGACTTACACACAAAGCGGACTTAACCCTGACAAGGTTATTAATGCAAGGCTCCCTCCGGGTGGGAGAGCACGCGAGTGCTAGCCCCGGAAAAGCTTCCCAGTAGCCTGACTGGGAAGGGATGGGAAATGTTTATTTCTAGGAGACGAGCTCTTGTTGCCTTCTGTTCATTTGTTGGTAAATGCCACACTCACATACACTCACTTGTGGGACTGGATTTAGGGAGTGTGATGTCTCCAGTGCATGTAGAGTCCTCGAATACAAACATGCATGCGTTTTTTTTCTTCAAGCGGTGCGCGGTCTCGGTTCTGTAGCATGGTTCCTGAGAGAGAAGAACAGGTCTCTAAGGAAAGCTTTATGGCTGTTTCCAACACACTCTGCTGGGGGTCTTGGGAATAGTTACCCTGAATGGCCCCCAAAGATACCGACCATTTGCCTCATCATTTACTCCCAAGGTTTAATGACCTTTTCCAAAATAGTATGCTGCTGTCCAGTTTGTCAGAGTATGAGCATTTACTTATGGTTATCCATTCATAAAAACTGTCATTGTACAACATGCCCAAATATGCCATTAATGCAACATTTATGACTGCATAAGTGCTTTGAAAATAAGTAATAATAAAGATTATACTGGAAAATGTAGGAGGCATAGATATACACTGGATTAGTTTCATGCAGGTCCAACGTTCCTTTTAATCAAGTTATGCAATAATTTCAGTATTTTAAGTAGCTTTTCGCATTTCTAATTCTGCATTAACTGGCTTTGGATTTTATGGAGAATCTTTCAAACCTGCAGCTCAAAAGCATTATACTGTTACTATTTTTAAATGTATAGTATTGTATGGGACAGAGGTCTTGGTTTATTTACCAGTCAACATTAATCAAGATATTACAATTTATGTAATATGAAAAGAGATTTCTGTCAAAGATGTAGTCTGACCTGTCAGTGTTGAAAAACTTACAGGAAATATTTTGGAAGAGTAACAGTTTAAAAACTGGATAGATAGATAGAGCTATACACACATACACACTGTAAAGTTTTATCTGTTTCACCCTTTAGGTATGTGCATGCATATCCATAAAGTTGCCCAAAGCTTAACTTGTGATACGTGAATCAAACCTTAGACATCTAGAGAGTTCTTTGTCCTTGAATTAACCAAAACTTCACACAGAAGTTGGCACATTTTGCACATGTATGAGCATTTAATTGCTGCTTGAGCTTGTGTTTTTAATGTAGATCATGAATAAAGTACTTGTTAGTGTGGCTACATGGACTTTCTGAGACTGTTGAAGGCCCAGTGTAACTTTTCCCCTAAATGCAGGTGGAAGTGTCCTGGTCATCTAAGAGTTAATATGCCCCCACAAAGCAAATCCTGTAATCCCCTCCCTCATTGGATTGCACACGGTTCAGACCAGTTGTTTATCACAAATAGGATTCTGCCTAATGCACTCTTCTCCTTGTCTGGCACTCTTCAGATTTTTGGATAAAGGAGTGAATCACTTTGCTTCCTTCCTTGACCTTCACTTTCCAAATATCCCTCA